GGTCTTCTTGGGAAATTTTAGCTTTTTTTTTTTTTTTTTTTTTTTTTCCTATGAACTGAGTTTTTGGTAACCTCGCTTAACCTCCTGAAGGTTCTCCCCTCCTCGGGTGCAGTCCCTCAAAGAGTATCGCCCAGTCTCCCAAAGGAAAATGATTTGGATAAGCTTTTCTTTGGAAAATGTGTCCCTAGTACATATTTTTTAAGAATTTCCTAAAAGATCTGTTTAAGTTTATTATAAGCAAAATAAAGATGTGTTTTTCTCTGTGGTTTTTAATCCCTGGATCTGCACAGTTGTTGAAATTTCCCTTGCTGAGAATAGAAGGGCCCATGGTATTTGAATAACAACAATAAAACAAAACAGCTACTAGTATCATTTGCTGAGTATCTTTTATATTACAGATTCTGTGTTAGTCTTCTCATGTATTAACTTTCACATAATAGTCATGGCCTGTTACTATTCCCATTTAAAGAATGAGAACACAGAAACTCCAGTTTACCTGAATTTACAAAACTAGTAAGTGGCAGGGTCAGGATTTGAACCCAGATCTCTCTACTAGCTTTTAACTACTACACATTGGTACCTGTGGAAGAAATCTGAATCTTCATGCATTAGCCTAGAGGTCATTATCCTTTTTTGTGGTATTCTGACAGAAATTGTCATCGGATCATTATACTTTGATCTTCTCTTAGATTCTGGCTTAAATGAGTAATTTTCCTTAAAAAAAAAAAAACAATTTTTCTTTAAAAACAATCCTAGACTAGCTCATAATTTTTAATAGCAGAATAATTATACCTTAACTTCTATTCTTAGATTGTCTTCTAATAATGAAATTTGAATATCTTCTTGGGAAGCAGAACCAGAGTAATCTTCTAGTCATTACTGAGATTTGAAGAGGTTCATTTGATTCTTAAAAGTGCTTACTCACCTTGATAATGACTTTGTAGTCCTCCACACTTGGCATGCCCACATGCTAAAATAAAAAATTAATTCTGATGATGGGACTTGGCTTGATATCTCTAGAGTTGCCGTGTCCCATACAGCAGCCACCAGCGAGCCACATATAAGTATTTATTTTAAAATTTAGATGTACTATATGGTGGCTAACTGAACATAATAAAAATAAAATAACATTTAAATGAACTAAAATATAATTTAAAATTCAGATCCTTAATCACAGTAACCACATTTTAAATGCTAAACCGTCACGTGGGGCTACTGTATTAGTGTTAATTATAGAATACTTCCATCATTGCAGGAAATTTTGGGCAGTGCTGCTCTTGAATGTACATTTCTCATGGCCCCCTCTCCCTACCTTCCTTCTGTTCCCAAAACAACAATGGCTTCCTCCAAGAATTACCTCTACAGTTTCTGTAATTTGGAGGAGATAACTTATCTTCCCAAAGATTTCCCATGATATTCAACAGGAGAAATTGTTGCTGGCCCTGTCGGTATTTCTGTGGTACAGGGAAGCATGCTAACCCAGACCAAGTTCATCTTACTAAAATGGCAAGTCCATATAGCCAGCTCGTTTTTATTTGCCAGATTACATATAGAGCCAGCTTCTTAGTTTAGAACCACTTATAGGCTGTGTTTTTGAATTACACCAGAGTCTACCGTACTCCCTGGTAGACTAGTTGAGTGACGGTGTTGCTGTCAAACCTTTTAACAAATCGTTGGCTTCCATAACAGAGTTGAACATCTTGTTGACCAACTTTCGGGGAAAAAAAGATTCTTTTCTAAAAAATCTGATTCTTTTAGGGTGACCTGGTTAGTTTTGATTGTTGTCAAAAGAAACAGAGATGTATATTCTTAATTCCTTTCCATTTATGGGTTCTAAAATAATCTCGGTCCATGGTCGTATTGATATAAGCCAGTGTGGTACCCTCAGGGCTACTAGGACTACACCAGTCCTGTACTTGTCTTGAGCGATCCTAGTGGTCCATCTTTTCCATAGTGATACTCCGCAGTAAGCTCGTTTAGAGAAATTTGCTGAATATGTTACTTGCCAATGATATTCTATTGTTTGAGTACATAGAACAGTGCCCTGAACATTTTTGCTGTGTGTAAAATAGTCCTGGAGAGTCTTGTTGCATTTTGTTTTTCCAAATGAGCTAAGCAGGGTACAGTACTCACTAGTGTCAGGCTTGAACCCTCCATAGCCATACAGAGACAGGCAACCACTCTCCTTTTAGCTGTACAAATAGTCTGATTAAGAAATAGAGGAAGATCTCTGTTCAGAATGTTCTTGGTCACTGGACACCTCATAACAGAGGCCCTATATTAGCTACTGTTTTTCCAGCATCAAGGATTTCCCAAATTCAAAAAAGTTGTGATCAGTTTTAGTATTGCTATTTAGTATTGGTAATCATGAAGTGAAATGATAGGGTCTAGGGGCAGTGAATTATATTAATCTCCACTTTTGTGTAACTTCTAACATTTTTAAAACAAAGAGTAAAGAAATGTCATGATTTATTTATTGTGCTATCATGTTTTATGAGTTCCTTATATATTTTGGAAATTATCGGATATGTGTTTTACAAATATTTTCTCCTATTCTGTAGGTTGCCTTTTCATTCTGTTGATTAAAGCTTCTTAGTTTGATGATATAATCCCAATTGTCTATTTTTGCTTTTGTTGCCTGTGCTTTTGTCTCATCTCAAGAAATTATTGCCAAAACCAATGTCAAGAATGGGCAAAGGACTTGGGGCGCCTGGGTGGCTCAGTGGGTTAAAGCCTCTGCCTTCGGCTCAGGTCATGATCCCAGGGTCCTGGAATGGGGCCCCACGTCGGGCTCTCTGCTCAGTGGGGAGCCTGCTTCTCCTCCCTTTTGCCTCTCTGCCTACTTGTGATCTCTCTGTCAAATAAATAAATAAAATCTTAAAAAAGAAAAAAAAGAATGGGCAAAGGACTTGAATAGACATTTCTTCAAAGAAGACACACAAATGACCAATAGACATATAAAAAGGTGACCAACATCATTAATTGTCAGAGAAATACAAAGTGAAACCTCAGTGAGTTATCACCTCATACCTCTTAGGATGGCTACTATTTAGAAAAGGATAACATATGTTGGCAAGGTTTGGAGAATTTAGAACCCTGTACCCTGTTGGTGGGAATGTAAAATGGTATAGCAACTGTGGAAAACAGTATGGAGATTCCTCATAAAATTAAAAATATAACTATCATATGATTCAGCAACCCCACTTCTGGGCATATGCCCCAAAGAACTGAAATCAGGATCTCCAAGAGATACCTGCACTCCCATGTCCACTGTAGCACTATTCACAATGACTAGCATATGGAAACAACAGAGTGTCCATCAGCAGATGAACAGATAAAGAAAATGTGGTGTATTCTTATGATGGAATATTATTCAGCCTTAAAAAAGGAAATCCTGTCATTTGGGAAAATGTGGATGAGCCTGAAGGACATTAGGCCAAGGGAAACAAGCCAGTCATAAAAAGACAAATACTGTATGATTCCGCTTCTATGAGATATCTAAAAGAGTCAAACTCGTAGAAGCAGAGAATACGATAGGGGTTGCCAGAGATGAGGGGGGAGGGAAATGGGAGTTGTTATTCCATGGGTGTAAAGTTTCAGTTTTACTAAATGAGTAAGTCTAGCAATCTGCTCCACAGCTTTGTACCTATAGTTAACAATGTGGTCTTATATTGCGCCCTTCAAAATTTGCTAAGAGGGTAGATCTCATGTGAAGTAGTCTTACCATAAAAACAAACCAAAAGGGGCGCCTGGGTGGCTCAATGGTTAAAGCCTCTGCCTTCGGCTCAGGTCATGATATCAGGGTCCTGGGATCAAGTCCCACATCGGGCTCTCTGCTCAGCAGGGAGCCTGCCTCCTCCTCCTGTCTCTCTCTGCCTGCCTCTCTGCCTACTTGTGATCTGTCAAATAAATAAAAAAAAAATCCTAAACAAACAAACAAACAAACAAAAACCTGCAAAGGAACACAAGAAAACCCTCTGGTTATGTCTACTGTCTTGACTGTGGCGATGGTGTTGTGGGTATTTGCATGACTCTGACCTCATCCAGTTGTACAAATTACATACATGCATTTTTTTATATCTCAATAAAGCTGGTAAAAAAATTTTAATTTAATTTTTAAAAAAGTTTTAAATGTCATGAGCTCTTGGGTGAATTTAATATAGCTGTTTTTGCTGTTTATAGTAAGGCATCTTATTAAAAAAAATTTGGTCTAAGAATCATTAAGAGCTGTTTTGGAGCTATGTCTTAATGAGGAAATATTTACCTACCTTATTTAAATGCAGCATTGCTCTTCCACACCCACTTTGATGCATCACAAAGGTGAGCAAATGACATTATTCTAAAAAAAAATTACATTTATGTAATATATATATATATATATATATATATATATATATACATATATATATTCCTTAACCACTATTCCCATTAATATTTCCCTACTGTTTTTCTTTTACAAGGCTTGGTGAGCAGGGCGTACATTTCTTACTCATCACTAGTTTTAGGAACTCTTTCCCTGACTTTGATTTGTTTTTTATCACATCAGAGCAGGGACGTTGCTGAACAGCAAGAAAGGAGTAAAGAAAACAGCTCTAATGAATAAAAGAGTGATTCTTCTATATGCATTTTTGGTAGCCCTGATTCCACCGAAATTCTATTTTGATTTTCTTTTTTTTTTAAATTTTATTTTTTATAAACATATAATATATTTTTATCCCCAGGGGTACAGGTCTGTGAATCGCCAGGTTTACACACTTCACAGCACTCACCATAGCACATACCCTCCCCAACGTCCATAACCCCGTATTTTGATTTTCTTATTCAATAGCAATACAGCGTTTTCACGACTATCACTCACACACACACACACACACACACACACACACACACACACACACACCCCTCCCTCCCTCCCCGCACCCCCTCAAGCTGACAGTCTGTCTTAAGGCAGCGGCAGATGCCTGATTGGCGGGCTCTGTTTATTCTGTGACCAGATTCCTCCTAAAAGAAGGCAGGCCATGAGTGCCTGAAGCCTATTGGTCAGGTCTGCTCTGGACCCTCCCCTTCTTTTTCATGGCACACACCACAGAGAAGTCTGTGCGGAATCCTAAACCAGCCCAATTTACATCCATTCATGAATCTGTGACGTCAGCAAGCCTCTGGGCTTCTTTGCGGTGGGCTGGAGGATTGTGTGGGTGGAATCCCCCTCCCCCTTATTTTTCTGATTCTGCAAGGCTTTTTAAATTAACCTTCCACCTTTTTAAAGCAAGAAAATGGAACGGCATGTGTAGGAATTCTTCATTGTTGTGAGTATCACACTCTTTTTTTTTTTTTTTTTTTTGTTTCATCAGCATTTCTAGCACAAGGACAGATGGAGAAGGTATTTGAGATTTGAGTTGATTAGAAAGCTGATATTATTGAGGGAGACTGGGTGAGAAAGACAGAGCGGAAGACAGGGGCAAAGAGTAATCTGAAACCCAGTTAGAGCTCCGAGCCTTCCAAACTGACAGCTGGTTTTCCCTTTGCTGGTCTGCTTGCTTGCTAGACGTGGACATTTTTCATTTAGGGTTCTGCACGTTACCTCTGGACGCGGGCTTGGCTTTCCTTAAAGTGAGATTCATTTCTCGGAGAAGAGGATGCGGGTCGCGTGAGAGGCAAAGCCCCCAGCTGGTACCAGAAAGGTGCCGGGGGAAGCTGGGTCAGCGAGACCGAGCAGGTTCTAGCCTGCCGAGCTCTGGTCTTCCTTTCTGCCGGCCTTTCTGTTGTGTGTCACCCTTCACCTCCCCTTTGTTTCGTAATTGTGTACCAGTCAGGGTCTCGAGCTTGCAATTTGGGGAAGATAAATACTTGTCCGACCATTTTTTTCCCCTCCAAATCTTTTATTATGGGACTCACAGGGGTGTATTTATACATCTTTAGGGCTCTTTCTGTCACTCTGTGCATTTTATTTATATTTTTAAAACTTAAAAGCTTGCACCAGAGGCAAAAGGGGAATGATCCTTAAATTCTGATCTGCAAAATATCCGCGAATGAAAATTAAGAAGTGGTTTCGTAATACATTCCATAATTATATTGCATTGAAATGCACATGAGTGTTTTCTGAAGATGAACTCCCAGCTGAAAATAGTTTATTCTGCTGTGCTTGGCAAACATGGGAAAGTTCTGATATGTTCCAAGTATTAAGTTGGTTTGATACTTTTGCTTGGAGGTTTAACAGAAAGTATTTGTGAGCGAATTTATTTTCCAAGATTCTGGATTATATTCTGGTGAAAGTTGGGATGGTAAAGAAGAGGGATGGGACTCTGTGACATGTCCTGCCCCAGGGCAGCTCCTCAACCCAGATAATCTAATAGCATTTTCCACCTCCCTCACTTGGAGCAAATTATATTCTAGTTGGCAGCATCTACCTGCTTGTTGTCTCCAGTGAGAGGGGAAGCAAAATGTTAATTTCTTATCATCCAGCATTCTCATGTTTACTTTGTATAACCAATACTTAGTTTTGAGATTTTTCCTATTTTCATCTTTTCTCATGAAATAGGGCTTCTGAACTGGAACTCTCATGACCTGTTTTGAAGATCATTAGTGACTCTTCCCACTGTAAACTCATTCAGAATTACCTGAGAATTTGGAGTTTTCTTTTGTTTCTCATCTTGGCATTGCCCTTATTCATTTTGTTTTTCTGAGTGCATCTGAACTCACAAAGAAGGGAGAACTTATGCCTCATTCTAAATCAGATCTTTGTCCTCTACTCAGATAACTATGGTTTCATATTGTGCAATTTTTTTTATAGGCTGGGTTGAGCAAATGACACAATTTCCCTGTATTTGTAAGCATCTAGACTTATTTCATTGTTCTTCTGTGTACCTTCAGACTTTGTTGAAAGTAGCAATTGCAAAGTTACTCCAAATTACTGAAGTCCAGATCATTGCTGGATCAAAAGACTGAATTCTTAGATTTTTTTCTTTTTAAAAAAATGTGTTTATATAATTAAGCTCAAGAAATGTTCATCAAACGCTGTCTTTTCTATACATTTTGGCAAGAGGGCTTTATTTCCATGAAAGAAATATAGTCCGTACTTTGCATTTTATTAAAGTAAAACTATTCCTTTAAGGCACAGAGTAGATACAGAATCGCCCTCTCTCTCCACTCCTAGTGGCTGTATTCTAGATTATATTTATTTTCCTGTATAGTGTACTTGTAGGGAAAAAAAAACACAATAACTCTTAATTGTTTAATATCAAACAATAAAATCCTGTGTATCAGTGACTGTCAATAGATGCCTTTCTGTTTCAAAACTGAAGCTACTCCAGAAGTAGGAATTAATTTATTTAGTAAACAAAGTCAGTCAAACCAGAGCCCTCTCCTGGGGAACTGTCAAAAGCATGGTTCCTAAAGGGCCAGAGGCCATATCCACGGGTAGAGGCCGGAACAACAGTACTTTGGACTGAAGTAGAACCGGTCAGTTTGGTTTGTGATGTCTACCTACCCTCTCTCGCTGGGCTACAACTGAATTAATTGCTTGCGGAGCTCAAGTGAGTCAAGATGGCCAAGATGACCAGTGCTGCCAGGTGGCAGTCTGACCCTTATAATTTTGACTAAAATAAAAAGCATTTCCCAAGAACACTCCTTTACTTTAAAAAAAAACAAAAGAGTCATTTAAGAGATAATACCCTCCTGCTCTGTGTCGGTTGGTTATTCCTTAAGAATAGAGGAGGAGAGAAAGATTTAGAAGATGCCATATTTCCTCCTAAGGAATCTAGAAGGTGAGATACCATACACATATAGGGTGATCAAGATTGGAATTACCTGGGGAATTTTCTGTCTCTTTGTTCAGTGGTTTTTAGTATGTTCATAGAGTTGTTCTACCATCAGTGCAATCAATTTTAAGATATTTTCATCACGGTAAGAAAAAAAAAAGAAAAAGAAACCAATACACATTGGCAGTCACTCCTCATTTCCCCTCAGCTCCCCAGCCCTAGGCAACCACTAATCTCTTTTCTTTATACAGAGATTTGCCTATTCTGATCATTTCATATTAATGAAATCGTGTAACATACAGGCTTTCATGACTAGCTTCTTTCACTTGGATAAGGTTTTCAGAGTTCTTCATATTATAGCATGTATCAGGGCTTCATTCCTTTTTTTGTGGAATAATATTCCATTGTACAGATTATACCGTGTTTAACTGACCCATCCATCAGTTGATGGACATTTGGGTTGTTTCTCCTTTTTGGATGTTCTGAATAATGCTGTGAACATTTGCATACAGGTTTTTGTGTGAGCGCGTGTTTTCATTTCTCTTGAGTATATACCTACCAGCGGTATTGCTGGGTCCTATGATAACTATATGTTTCACATTTTTCAGGAACTGCCAAACTGTTTTACAAAGCAGCTGCACCATCTTACATTCCCACCAGTATAAGCCTCATATAAGGCTTTCAACCTCTACAACCTTGGCAACACTTCATTGTATCTCTAATTTTGACAAGAGTGATCTTAGTGAGTTTGAAGTGCTATCTCCTTGTGGTTTTCGTATACATTCCCCTAGTGGTTAATGATGTTGAGCATCTTGTTATGTGCTTATTGGCTCTCTGTATTTCTTCTTTGGAGAAATGTCTATACAGATCCTTTGCCCATTGAAAAAGTTAGTTATTTCTCTTTTTGCTATTGAGTTTGAGAGTCTTTGATATGTTCTTTATCAGATATATGGTTTGCAAATATTTTCTTTCATTCTATGAGCTGTCTTTTTACTTTCTTGGTGATATTGTTTGCTGTGCCCCTTTTTAAAAATGTTGATGAAATTCAGTTTCTTCACTTTTGTTGTTGTGCTCTTAGTGTCCTATCCAAGAAGACTTTGCCTAACCCAAAGTTATGAAGATCTATCCCTGTTTTTTAAAGGGCTTTACAGTTTTAGCTCTTACATTCATGTCTGTGATCCATTTTGAGTTAATTTTTGTGCATGGTATAAGGAAGTGTTCAACTGCATTCTTTTGAATGAGGATATCCAGTTCCAGCAATATTAGTTGAAAAGACTGTTCTCTCTCCCATTGAGTTGTCTTGGCACCCTACCAGGAAACTTAAAAAAATACTGATACCATGCTCCTGCCTCCAGAGAGTCATATTTAATTGGCCTGTGGTGGGGCCCAGACATCTGCATTTTTTGAAAGCTCCCAGATGATTCTAATGTACAACCAGGATGAAAACTATTTGCATGGATAGAGGGTTAGTTTTAAAAAGAAGAGGGACACTACTTCTGAATCAAGAAAAGTCAAGAAGACACAGAATTCTAAATGGAAAGGAGAGAAAAGAGGAAAATTAAGATTCATACCAGAGAGCATGGATTTTCTTGCTGAGTAAGAGTCATTTAAAGAGGTTAGTGAGATACATTAAAGGAAGAGAAGGAGCTGACACTTATTAAGCAACTTCTCCATGCCCAGAAATCTGGGAGCTTTCACATACGTTATTTCATTTAAAATATAATCCTCGAGGTGTGAAGTAGGTACTACTACCCCCATGATGAGAAAAGAGGCTCAAAATGTTGCTGACTCAGCCAAAGACACCGGGTAGTGCATATGATACCCAATTCTGAAATCCAGGTCTAATTCTCCACCCCATTCTCTTTCTTTTGTATACCATGGCTTTTGAACATTGAGATCTACCTTCACTTGTTATTGATTTGGTCTAGCAAGGGTCTGAGGTTTGGCAATGGTCTAAGGTCTTCTCTTGGAATGCTCTGGAAAGGACAATGGAGTAAGATAAGTTGGATGGTGGGGAGTAATATAGGGTTAAGTGTTGGTACAGCAGGTGTGGTAGAAGATAAGAGGCTATGTGTAAATGAAGATTATCATGTGACAGTTAATCATGGAGCCCATGCTGGTTATGCTCTATGTAGATAGAGCAAGCAGGAAAAATCACAAGAGGACAAAGGAGCAGTATACTAGGGTTGAGAGAATAATTGAAAGGAATGGTGGAGAGACTGTGATGGGAAAGAAAATAAATCAAATAGAACTAACAGGTGTCGAAATGTTGGCATTCTTTTAATCAACAAATATCGAACATTTACATAGCAGTGAAAAAAAAATTCTTGCCCGCTTGGGGCCTTATTTTATTGGGAAGACAAATAAAGTAAATTGGGTTTAGGCAGTGATAAATTTTAAAGAGAAGAGTAAAGGTGGAAGAGGAATAAAGTGTGCTGGGAGTGGGGTAAAGTCAGAAAGGGCCTTCTTCAGAGCACCTGGCTGGTTCAGTCAGTAGAGCATGCGACTATTGGTCTTAGGGTCATGAGTTCAAGCCCCGTGCTGGATGT